CTCTCTCTCTCTCTGCCTTAATACTTTCTCTTTTATTTAATTATTTCTTTTATACACTGTTATACACTTAAATAAAAGCTAACTATTTTATATATGAATAACACAATAATCTACCCTATCTTTCAGAATTACATTTATTAATTAATATTTTAATAAAATAAATTAAAATAAAAAATAACTTACTATTGGCTCAGTACAGGGATTGGAGTTACGTTATACATGAAATATTTCATAGAAACAAAATATTAAATTAGACTAGATGTATTTTCCTATTCCACGCAACTGTGAAGAGATAATAAAAGTTATTTCTGTTGGTTGGAAGATACCGGAGGGTCTATCGAGGGATAAGGGTCTCAAGCTCAAGTTTCATTAGTTTCTAGGGCTGACATAGGCCGACTTTCGAAACCTGCCGTTGATCCTGACGCGAACGACGGAGATCTTCCTTAAAACTTAGGTATGATGGGTGGAAAGGCATTCCAGAAGAGAAATAGAGCGAGTGGAAGGAACAACGAGCGATTGCGCCGCGCGCGTACCATAAAAGCTACCGTAGTGGTGTCGAGACGTACGTAACGTTTAACATTTAAGCCCTTAGAAGGTTGTAAGGTTGACTCCCTGTAATTATAGCGAGGCGCGGCGCCTTGAGGTCTTCATTATGGCGCGAGTATCCTTGTTATTTTTCTGTACCGAAGCGTGCACGCATATACGCAAACGTGCACGTCCGTTTGCTGCGAAGAGCGCACGGAAAAAAAGGGGTTCGGTTCGGCGTCGTAAAAAGATGATCAACGTCGGAAGGAGGCATTCACACAGCATCCGCATAATCGAGAATTTTGCACCAGAAGAAGGGAGGAACAAAATATAAAATAGTGACGGAGCTACGTCCTTTGAGAGTTTATTCGATCATCTGCGCAAATAGTTTTAATCATGTTTTACGATTTTACAAAATTTGGAATTTTAAATTTCAAAATTCCAAGAATAAATATCAAAGATGAGTTTGGTAAGTTTGACGAAATCTAAAAAATTTAACTGAATAAAAAGTTTGTTATTGAGTTTGGAAGCTAAAGTTTTTCTAAAAATTTTATTTAAGAGATGAGTCTATATTATTACATCTCTTTTATCATTTTTTTGTCTAATCAACGAATAGACAAAACTCATTACTGCCTTGGCAAGGAACATATCAAAAATTTTGAAAACAAATTAATTATAAAGAAATTGCCTGACAATATAGAGGATCTCGCATCGCCGTCGCCACGTCGTGAAAACGTTTAAATGCCATAATAAAATCTATCTGCGACACAACACGCGTAAACTGCGTTGAAACGAAGAAAGGTATATATTGAAGAGAAGAGAAAGGAGAGAAGGTTAAAAAGAGCCGAAGTGCGATTTCTTGCCGCTGTTTATTTTAATTTTGCGTCCGTAGCCAGTCATCCTTTTGTTCTGCCGCTTGAATGTGCCGCTCTCATTCCTTCTTGTCTTTTTATTTACCAATCGTTGGCGCTTCAGTTGCGCAATCATTTATTGTTGGAGAAATGCGAATTGGTTCTATCCGTCTTGCTTCTTGCGAGAATACTAACAATGAGAAATAGAACACAGGATATTGCATATTTTAATAAAAAATAATAGAAACTTGAAAAGATTCGCGACTTCTTTACTTATCGACAGATTAGATCGGACGCCGTATTCGTATGAATTTTCAATCTGTCTCTTGTACGCGTGACGCAACGAAAGCTTCGGTATGCGTAAAGAAAAATCACGCGATGCTAAGGGCGATCGATTAAACCGCGAATTCGATTAATCGAAGGCACGGTATCCGACAGTGATATCAATTCAAGCACGTGACTCATCCGCGGGATTCGTGAGCGCGTGAGTCTCGGCGTCGAGATGAAGATAAAGCCGATTCTCGGTCGGTCGAGATGAAAGCGTCGCGTTCCGGGGTGTCCAACACCTTGTTAAACGAGTCGGGACACGCGGCGCCCCTCGGAGAAAACGACTATTTGTTAGGAGCGTTCTTTATATCGTGGGTTTCCCCTATATATAGAGATGCCACCAACCCGCTCAGATCTTCCTTAATTTCAACAGAACCGATCACTTCAGGATCGCTTGTATTGTATGTGCGCGTGCGTGCGTGTGCGTGCGTGCGTGTGCGTGCGTACGTGTGCGCGCGCGCGCGC